CACTTGTGGCTGCAGCCTCAGGAGGCACCCAGGACCCCAGGTAAGGCTGCTGGGACCTGCCCAGTGCTGGCCACAGCTTCCCCTACCTGACCCGGGGCAACTTGCCACGTGTCAAGTATGCGTGGCATGGGCATTCCTCAGGGACAAGTAGCAGTGGCGCAAGGTGCACTGCTGCTACTTGTCCCTCAGGAACCAAACATCCACGCATGTCTGGACACACCCATGGAGTATGTTGGTGAATTAGGGTCTACATTTTCAATGTTTTTAGATCTTAAAAACAAATAAAAAAGTGAAATCAAGGGCAATAATTCTTCAATTTGTTTGTGTGGCCAAGTGAAAAATAAAACTAAATGTCCATAACAAATATATCTGTATACTCCTCTTACCAAAGCTTTCTTTTGTTTAGTGTCAGTGGGAAGGTATGCTAGCCAAATGCTGGAAATGCCATTTGTTCTGCACTCTTGCTCTGTTTCAGGTTCAAGCTTTCTCATGTCTTGAAACTCTTCTGTTTTCTTCATGGCTTCCCTTCTCTGCTCACTCAGTAACAGAACTGTGGGCAACAAGGCAGACCGAAGCTGAGCACATGGCAGGAGTCCCAGCATGACTCTGCTCAGTTCCAGAGAGGAGACTCCCAAGAAAAATACTGATTTACTGTGGTAGAGGAGAGTTGGCAAGCCTACAAGCCTGGGTGCACTTAGCAAGGAAACTGACTGACTGAAGTGGTTTCTTGCATCACTCAGGTTTGCAAGTTCAACTTATCTGCACGGCAACACTGTTTCTGGGAGAACCATTTTGATAGATCCACAGATGCCTTACGTGCTGCTTTGCCCCAGTTCTAGATTTTCACTTATTTTCCTACATGCTGCTCCTAGTAGAGAAGCTGTCTCCAGCTATCTAGCTATTCCTTTGACACAGCCATTGGCAATATGGACTCTGGTAGAAGCCTATTGTGGAAAAAACAAAGATTAAAGTGAACAGGGCAATGACTTGGCTCTGAGCCTCAATTTAAAAAAAAATAAGAGCAGCTTCCTATACATGCTGTTGCCTCTGTTAGACCTAGGTGCTACTCTAACCCAGTAATCAACAGGACAGGCTGCCCTAGGGGAAATGTGGCTCTTATTCAAAGATGCTAGCAGCTCCCATTTAATATGAAGTAGAGAGAGGTTTATTTTTCCCTCCAAAAATATTTTATTCTAATGCATTTTCATAAAGCTAATGACATTTTCTCTGTCTGCTCCCCTCCCCTCCCCCCTATGTTTCTGTTTCCATTTACTTTACTGGCAGGCATGGGCAATATGGACAATAAGTGATCTTTGTGGCGTCAGCACAGCCACCAGCCAGCCAGACTCAGAAGTCCCAGCTGCAAGTGCAGGATGTTGAGACAAAGTGAAGGAGGATTCGGGTATGGGATTGGGAAGGGGGTGGCCGGGGACAGAGGAGAGGGAGATGAAGTAATGAGGGGGTGGAGGAGTGAGGAGAAAGGAGTTGGGGGTGGGAGAGAGGACAGGCCGATGGTTTGGAGGGGCAGGAACATGGGGGACAGGGGTGAAGAGGTCAGGGGACATCATGAGGGAGATGAAGTAAAGAGGGGAATGAGAAGGAGAAGAGAGTGGAGGATGGTAAATGGTCTGGAGGGACTCTCACTCCTCATGGAGATATGGGGAAGGGGAATAAAGAGGTCAGGGGACAGAGGCGAGGGGGATGAAGTGAAGAGGGGATAAGGGGGATGAGAAGGAGAAAGAAGTGGGGGTTGCAGGACAGGAGATGGTGTGGAGAGGCCATCTCTCCCCATGGAGACATGGGGAGGGGAGTAAAGAGGTCAGGAGACAATGTGAGGGAGATGAAGGGAAGACGAGAAGGAGAAGGGAGTGGGGACTTGGAGGATGGGAGATGGTCTGGAGGCAGCATCTCTCCCCATGGAGACATGGGGTAGGGGAGTAAAGAGGTCAGGGAACAGAGGGGAGAGAGATTGAGGGGAGTGAGAAGGAGAAAGGAGTGAGGGAGAACGGGGCGATGGTCGGGCGGGAAAGCGGGGGCGGGGGTGAAGCAGTGGGGCTGAAGGGAAGGGAGCGGGGAGAAAGGAAGACCCAGGGCTGCGGGCTGGGAGCGGGACACAGCGCGGGGGCTGAAGCGAAGGGGCAGGTCCCGAGGGGGGGCGAGAAGCGGGAGGGGCGGGGAAGGAGGCAGCGGGGCTGGAGACGGCCGG